CCCGCCTGAGGGGAGCACGGGCCGTCCCCAGACTCTCCCCGCCTGAGATGGGCATGGGCGGTTCCCCCCTGACTGCCTCCCCGCCATGCTGGAGAAGACAGGTGACCCCCCCAGCCCGCCTTGCTGGAGCGGGATGCAGGCAGCCCTCCCATCCCGCAATTGCCTGCCCCCCGCCCGAGGGGAGCGTGGGCGACCCCCCCCCCGCCTTCCCCTCCTGTCTGCCGAAGGGGGGGTGCCCTTCCCGCTGTGTGCCGAGGGGGGGGCACAGGCGATGCCCTGACTGCTTCCCGCTCTGCCCGACGGAGAAGCACGGGTGACCCCCCCCGTACCTCTCCCCTGCCTGAGGGGGAGTAGAGGGACCCCCCCGTGTCTATTTTGCCCTGACAGGGGTTTGCTGAGCTACTCCGGGGAGTCAGGCCCCGTGCTGCCGCAGAGAGCGGAGCGCCCCGGCGCATCGGCCCCTCCCCGCCGCCTCAGGCCTGCGCTGCCTCAGCCAGGTACGTGGGTCCCCCCCCCCCCACGTGACAGAGCCCGGGAGTGCGGAGCAAGCTGGGCCGGGGAACGCAGGGAACCCCCCGCTGCGGTACCTGGGGGTCGGATGGTGTCACTGCTGCACACCCGCCTGCCCCGTCCCTTCCTAGGCCCCCTCCCCGGGACAGTGCGGTGCAGAGGGGCCGGGATCGCTGCTCCGGCCCTCCAGGAGTCAGGGGAGGGGATGGAGGGGGGTTGAGCCTGGTCCTGGAGTGAGCCCCGGGGGGAACCTGAGCCCGCCTGGGGCGGGACCCCGGGTTCGCGACTCCCCGAGGCAGCCAGGGGGCGGCACCGCTAGTGAGTAGCGCCGAGCCCAGCCCTGGGACCCCCGAGAGCCGGGGAGGCCCCGGTTGATGGGCAGCTGCCTCGGGGGAGAGCGGCTGTCACGGCCCCTTGGCCGCAGCCGCGCGTTGTTCCCGGAGGCTGAGCTCCGCCTGGGATCCCCTGACTCCGGGAGCCGGGGCTGGCAGGAACCCCCGGCCCGGCTGCAGTGGGAGGGGAGGTGGCGGCGCAGGAGCCCTCGCGGCTCTGCAGCCACCTGCCCCGCGGGGGCCCCGCTCCAGCCCGGCCGGTGCCCTGCGCCCCACCCGCCGCCAGGGGCCGCTGCCGGCCCCGCTCCCCGGCCGGCTCCTCCCCGCCCGCAGCTCCCGGACCCTGCCAGCGAGTCCGCGGCTCCCGGCTGCGCTCGCTCTGCTCCGCCCGGCAGCGGGGCCGGCCCGTGGCGAGGCGAGGCGAGGCGGCGCCGGGACTCTGCCCAGCCCGGAGCGGGAGCGGAGCTCGGGCTCGGCCGGGCCGGGCCGGGCCCCGTTGGGATCCAGCCGCGCGGCTCGTTCCCTGAGCGGGCCGGCGGGCGAGTCTCGTCGTGACTTCCCCGGGTCCCTGCGGAGCAGCCTCGCCCGGTGCCTGCCCGGCCCTTCCCGCCGCCAGCCCGGCCAGCCGGCAGCAGAGCTCCTCGGGCCCGGGGCGCTGCCCCGGGCGGGCGCGCGGCGAAACGCTCATGTCCGCCCCTGGGCCGCGGTGAGGGGCGAGCTCCAGATCCTCCCGCCCGGCGGAGCTCCGGCTGCGCCTGGGCCGGGAACAAAGGGCCATGGCCGAGCGGGCCGCTGCCCAGGTAAGGGCCCGGCGGGGGCTCCCCGAGCGGGGCAGGAAACCGCCTGGCGGAGGAGCCTGGACAGTGGGCCCTCGCGAGCTTCTCCCTGGCCTGGACCCGGGGAGCGCGGTGCTGCCCGCTCGCTCCCGGGGCAGGGCACGGCCCAGGCTGGAAGCTGAATGGGGAGGAGGGTCCTGACCCCTGGGGCGGAGGCGGGAGCAAGAATGGTCTGGCTGGTGTTTCTCAGACACTGGGGGCAGCTCCGCTTGTGCGGGGCCATTTGCTGCTGGTCTGGGGAGCAGGGACCGGGGCTTTGCTGTTCCCCCCAGTTGCAGGAGACCGACCTCCCAGCCGGGCCCGCCCTGGCAGCAGCCAACACTCCAGCCTGGCTAGGATAGCGGGATCGGGCTTCTGCTGCGGAGCTCGAGGAGAGCACTTCATACCTATTTGTTGTTGAACCATAACTCAGGGTATTGTGTTGCGCACCCACAGAGTAGCATCGCAGCCGCCTTCCAGAGGTGGCAGAAATGAGCTTTATGGGACCTTGTAACTATTGGAGAGTCCCTCTCTCTAATGTTTCTGCTTAATGATGATGGTTAACAATACATTCTCTTTTATTTCGCAACACTTCAGGTGTGGAGCTTGTATCTTTTGTTTCTCTCATAGTCTGGACTGGAGGGGTGAAATCCTAAAGTGTCTGTTGACTTGACCCATAACTCCACAACCCCATTTCTGTGACTTATATTTCACATCATAAGAGACCTTAAGGGCTCTGTGTTGTTAGTAATGGTGGCTTTGTTTCTCTAATTTAATTACTTGGATTTTATTATTCTTTGTATAGCTACTTTAGTCCCCCAGAGTTCAAAAGCTTTTCATAGAAGGTATACATATCTACTGGGATCCCTAAACAGAGAGACCTCTAGGTGGAATGTGCCTTCTTTACCAGTGTGTGCAAAACATGTACACAAAGTCAAGGACCGGATATCAAAAATGCCTATTAAACTAATTCTGTGGGCGAAATCTACCAAGGAGGAAAGGCCAGTATTCTCTTAATACCATGACTCTTGTGGAAAGTATTAAGGAATGTTAAATTACCACAAAGAGTCAGGTTCTCACTTTTTCTCTCTCATCTGAAGGTATGTCTACGTTGCACACCACTGGCCACGGCTTGTAGGGTATGTGTAGCTGCACGCTGCAGTGATAGGTAGGCTGCAACCACCCTGCAGTATGTAGCTACACCCAGCAATGAAAGGCTTTAGCAGGGGGAGGCAGCGGGGAAAGGCTTCTGCAGTGAGGAGTTGCTGGAACCTTTCCTGCTGCCTCTTCCCTGCCGGAGCCTTTCCCCGCTGCTGGAGTCTTTCACTGTGGTGGGGAAAGACTCCGGCAGTTCCCTGCTGCCAGAGCCTTTCCTCGCTGCAGAGATCTGCTGGAGCCTTTCCCCACGGTCTTCCCCCCTGCTAGAGCCTTTCCTTGCAGTGGTGAAATGCTCCAGCAGCAGGGAGACAGTGGGACACTACACTGCTAAATCTAGCAGTATATACAAGGGAGGCACAGCTTGGGCTTGTAGAGAGCTGTGTAGGGTACAAACCCGAAGATTCTGCCATGTCTTTACTCGCCTAAGCAGTGCCTCACCGTCTGCACTGCTGTTTTTACCTGTGCTGGGAACATGTATTGTATGTACTCTATACACTGCCATAGGGAGAGTGCAGTGTAGACATACCTTGAAAGATGGCACCTCAGTAGCACAGTGCCTCTTGAATTTCTGATGAATCTTTGCTTAGACATCAGTGCAGAACCAAATCGCCAAAACCATTTCCAGCAGCAGCCAGGGTCTCCCTTCCAGGTTTTCCTCCTGAGAACTGACAAGACACATCCCTTATTTTGTGTATTCGAGTGAGAACGTAACCGAAGGATGGTATAGGAGTGAGCTTCTTAATGGCTTCAGATCCATAGTGTGACTCTCAACAATCTAAATACTACTTAAGAGTCTGGCACACGTAGGGAAAAGGGACTACAGACATATAAGAGAGTGATGTTAATTTCCCCTTTTCTAAATCAATTAAAAGATTGAAAAATAACTCTCCCTTTAACTGAAGTCTGTGGGTCCCCTAGATATGAGCAGTAGCTGGACATATGCACTGACTGCTTTTTGAAACCCATGGGAATGTCCCCATAAGACTTAAGATCCAATACTAGGTATTACTAAGAGCGGGAGACTCTTGCCCTGTTTCTCTCTCTAGCTGACCATGTGACCACAACTCCATGTCTAATATCTGTCTTTGCAAACAGGGTCCAGAACTGGATGCAGTGACACAGTGCCCATCTCCTTTACCGCCTCCCATTGTCCCTGAACGAACATCTGAAAGAGAAACTCAGACTGCAGAGATTTCCCTGACTGTTGTGGCAGCAATTCAAGCCGTAGAGAGGAAGGTGGATTCTCATGCCACACGGTTGTTGGATCTGGAGGGGAGAACTGGGATGGCTGAGAAGAAATTAATAGACTGTGAGAAAACAGCAGTGGAGCTTGGCAACCAGTTGGAGAGTAAATGTGCTGCACTGGGAACTCTGATCCAGGAGTACGGGCTACTGCAAAGGAGGCTGGAGAACATGGAGAACCTGCTGAAGAACAGGAACTTCTGGATCCTGAGACTCCCCCCAGGCACTAATGGAGAAGTCCCTAAGGTAACAATATCTCAGCTAGTGCTGGCAGGGAAGACTAAATGTTCAAACCAGTCTCTAGAGCTTTGCATGCAAGCTCAAGCCCGCAGTTTGGGTGCAGAATTAGAGGCACATTTTACAAGTGCCTACTGCAGACTAGAGAACAGTAGCACATATACTATGGCTGGAGTCAGGGGTTGGAGGGGGAGCTGGGAAGAAGTGAGCCCTGGTGAGAGTTAATTAAACTAGGAGCTCAAAGAAATTCAGAAATAAAACTGCCCCTTAATAGCTTCTTGCCTCTTTTCCCTCTTGGGAGCTGTTTGTGGGAAGTGGATCAGAGGAGAATGTCCCTGTTATGAACAAAAATGATATTAACATAAGAACAGCCATACTGGGTCAGACCAGTGGTCCACCTAGCCCAGTATCCTGTCTTCTGACAGTGGCCAATGCCAGGAACTTCAGAGGGAATGAACAGAACAGGCAATCATCAAGTGATCCATCCCCTGTCATCCACTCCCAGCTTCTGGCAAACAGAGGCTAGGGACACTCAGAGCATGGTGTTGCATCCCTACCCATCCTGGCTAATAGCCATTGAACCTTGTTTTAGTCTTGACCTTCACAACATCCCCTGGCAAAGAGTTCCACAGGTTGACTGTGCGTTGTTGAAGAAGTACTTCCTTTAGTTTGTTTAAAACCTGCTGCCTATTAATTTCATTGAGTGACCCCTAGTTCTTGTGTTATGGGAAGGAGTAAATAACACTTCCTTATTCACTTTTTCCACACTGGTCAAGTTTTTATGGACCTCTATTATATCCCCTCTTAGTCGTCTGTTTTCCAAGGTGAAAAGTCCCAGTCTTTTTAATCTCCCCTCATATGGAAGCTGTTCTGTACCCCAATCATTTTTTTTGCCCTTTTCTGTGCCTTTTCCAATTCCAATATATATTTTTTTGAGATGGGGTGACCAGAACTGCATGCAGTATTCAAGATGTGTACACACCTTGGATTTATATAGATGCATTATGATATTTTCTGTCTTATCTATCAGAGGGGTACCCGTGTTAGTCTGTATCCACAAAAACAACGAGAAGTCCGGTGGTACCTTAAAGACTAACAGATATATTTGGGCATAATCTTTCGTGGGTAAAAAACCCACTTCTTCAGATTAAGCTTTCGTGAGTAAAAAAACCACTTCTTCAGATAATGCATCTGAAGAAGTGGATTTTTAACCCACAAAAATTTATGCCCAAATAAATCTGTTAGTCTTTAAGGTGCCACCGGATTCCTCGTTGTTTTTGTCTTATCTATCCCTTTCCGAATGATTCCCAACATTCTGTTCGCTTTTTTGACTGCTGCTGCACATTGAGTGGATGTTTTCAGAGAACTATCCACTGACTCCAGGATATATTTCATGAGTGGTCACAGCTAATCTACACCCCCATCATTTTGTATGTATAGTTGGGATTATGTTTTCCAATGTGCATTACTTTGCATTTATCAACATTGAATTTCATCTGCCATTTTGTTGCCCACTCAGTTTTGTGAGATCCCTTGTAACCCTTAGTTAAGTCCAAAGCAGACTGCAATCTTGAGTAATTTTGTATCATCTGTCAATTGTGCTACCTCACTGTTCATCTCTTTTCCCAGATCATTTATGAATATGTAGATCAGCACTGGTCCCAGTACAGACCCCTGGGGGACACCACTATTGACCGCTTTCCATTCTGAAAACTGACCATTTATTCCTACCCTTTGTTTCCTGTCTTTTAACCAGTTACTGATCAATGAGAGGACCTTCCCTCTTATCCCATGACTGCTTTCTTTGCTTAAGAGTCTTTGTTGAGGGACCTTGTCAAAGACTTTCTGAAAGTCTGAGTATACTGTATCCAGTGGATCACTCTTGTGCACATGTTTGTTTGACTCCCTCAAAGAATTCTAATAGATTGGTGAGGCATGATTTCCCTTTTCAAAAGCTGTGTTGACTCTTCCCCAACAAAACGTGTTCATCTATGTTTGATAATTCTGTTCTGTACTATAGTTTCAATCAATTTGCCTGGTACTGAAGTTAGGTTTGCCGGCCTGTAATTGCCGGGATCACCTCTGGAGCCTTTTTTTGAAAATTGGTGTCACATTAGCTATTGTCCAGTCATCTGGTACAGAAGCTGATTTACGTGATAGGTTACATACCACAGTTAATAGTTCTGCAATTTCATATTTGAATTCCTTCAGAACTCTTGGGTGAGTACCATCGGGTCCTGATGACTTATTACTCTTTAATTTATCAATTTGTTCCCTAAGCTTCCTCAGATTTGTCATTTAAAAAGAATGGCTCAGGTATGGGAATCTCTCTCACATCCTGTGCACTGAAAACCGATACAAAGAATTCATTTAATTTGTCTGCAATGGCCTTATCTTTGACTGCTCCGTTAGCACCTTGATTGTCCAGTGGTCCCACTGATTGTTTAGCCAGCTTCCTGCTTCTGATGTACTAAATTTTTTTTTCCTGTAGGGATTTTTTTTAAAGTAGGGATTTCTCAGATCCAGTTCATTAGGATTTGGGGTTAATGGTTCATGGCTGGCAGTCTTCTTCCAGTAGCCAGACTTCTTCTTAGTGTATGCGCAAAGTGTCTCAGGTGGCACATGACCGGGATTCATCATTGTATTTGGTCCTCTGGCTGGATCATTAGCTTCCACGGCCAAGGCCTGGTACTGACGGGGAGTGTGACGTGAACGCTGATCCATGCCCCCAGTAGCCAGACTGATTCCCTGATATTACAAGCTGCTATTAGTGAGGCAACCAAGCAGCAGAAGAGAGCACGTAAAGGGTGTCTGAGGCTAGGGAAGGGTGGCAGGAAGCAACAGATAGGTGTTTTCTGGTGTCAAGCAAAGGGCATAGCTGGGACTCAGGAGACAGGCTTGATGTACTTAAAATTGGGACTAGGTGAACAATGCAACCAAAGAAAAAATAAAAGTTCCTTTAGTGTTCATTCATATTTGCATTGACAGCTTTTGCACTTCACAAATATTTTAGCAAGCATGTTTACTGGTGGAAATGTCATGAAAATGGTATTTAAAAAAAAACAACAACATTGCTGCATATTCATAGAGACTATCACATTTATAAGTGTGAATACTTGACCGGAAACTTCATTCTGTGTCATAGTCATCCAATCGGAACTGAAACAAAGGCTGTGTGTCCAATCCAAACTGCTCCTTTCAAATATTCATAACAAAGTCCTTGCAAATTAGCTACAGCTTGAAATTATCTGCAGAAATAATTAGTTTGCAGTTTTCAAGGTTATTTGCCATCTGTTTGATGATTTGCATCAGGTGGAATTCACCATATGAATGAATGATTATGAAATATTTGCCCAGCTTTTCAGAAAAGAGGTGCCTCTGTGTGTATCTGAAAACTGTAAACATTTCTGAATCAGATTTGTATTATAACTAGTGACAGTCCAAAGCTGTGAACCTCAGATCTGGAACAGAATTTCCCCAGAGTTCTGGAGCAATTGAACATGGGGTTTGAGGTCAGCTCCTTCACAGAAATGAGGATCAACCATGATGCCTGATTCTGATCTCATTTAATAATTTGACACAATAATAACTTGTATTAACAATAATAAATTATAACTTGAATAATTTCAGTGGCCTTGGTCCCAGTTTATATTGATGTGAGATCAGAATCAGATCTGTGGGGTTTGGATAAATTCTGATCTGGATTTGAAGCCGGCAGTGTTCAGAGCCAGGGTTTCAATTGAGATCCATTATGCTGTGGAAATAGGAATCTGAGAATTGTTTCCAGATACACATGGGACTAGATTTCTGTGTTGTGGATTCTTCACCTCACTGAATTAGCTTTGACATCTGAGTGGGGTGGAGAGAGGTTTTATTCCCATTTCACTGAAGTTAAGGAATCAGATGCCAAGATATAAGTGTTGCAGAAGGTGCTAAGTGTGTAACATCTGTGATTCCAGGTGCCCGTGACATTTGATGACGTCTCAGTCTATTTCAATGACAAGGAGTGGGAGAAACTAGACGAATGGCAGAAGGAACTGTACAAGAATGTAATGAAGGGCAATTATGAATCTTTGATCTCCTTAGGTAAAGATCAGTTTTCACCTGTTTGTTATAAACGGACTTCAGAGATTTTACAGGCTGGTGGGTCAGCATGTAGTGTCCCCAGTGCCTTTATGATTGAAGGTCAGCTCCCTTTTAAAAGTAGACTTAAAAATATTCCTCCTTCCATTGCTTTCTAGCTTTGGGTAGTGACTGGACATGTGTGTGTTCATCCCTTATAAATAAGGCTATGATTTTTTTTTCACGGAGATCGTGGAAGTCACGGAATCTGTGACTTCCAGCGACCTCTGTGACTTTAGCCCCTGGTGGTGGGGGGCAGAGCTCCGAGTGGCCCAGCCCTGCCCCCCTGGAGCTCTGAGCAGGTCCCTGCAGCTGCCTAGCCACTTCCCGACAGTGTGGGGACCCTGCAGCTGAGGTTCCCATTTTGTCATGGATATTTTTAGTAAAAGTCACAGACAGGTCACGGTCTTCCGTGACTTTTTCTTTATTGCCCGTGACCTGCCCGTGACTTTTACTAAAAATAGCCATAACAAAATCTTAGTCTTACTTATAAACACGGTTAGGCGATCCTCACATCAGGGCAGAGACATGCTGGCAGAGCAGCATGGGAAAAGCCTGCATTGGCTGCTTATGCTGCACCTATTTGCTGGATAAACACAGGACACAGGTCTCCAAAACTCTTAATCCAGTGGGGCCTTTAAGGAATGCGGAGTTCACTTTAAAATGGTGCTTTGGATATAAAAGCTGCTGTAGACATGCCGTATAGACACACAATGAAAGGCTGACTTTCAGCATTGACCTAGTGCTGCTCCCGTTTAAGTCAATGGGAGTGGAGTTGGGCCAATGCTGAACTCCTCTGAAACGTCCCCCCCAAAATCTCCTTCGCTAACGGGTGGTGGTTGGTCATCGCTTCTGGAATCTGGGGGTGGGGGAGAAGTGACTCTTATGGAAAGTGTCGAGGAATGGTTCCTGTACGCAGATACTTTTCAAATCATTATGATCGAGAACAAGTGCCCTAAAGGGACACTGTCTAGGTGCTTTCAGACTCTGAGTTAAATGTAATTTCAGGTCTTATGTTGGTTCCTGTGTCCTCCTGCTGATTTTTGTGACTTTATTGCATTTTAAAATAAACTCTCCTGTTGCTATTTGAAGCCCCCCTGTGCATGAGGGTGGGTGTGTAATTTCCAGCTCAAGCAGAGATACCTGTGCTAGCTCTGATCAAGCTGGTGTGCTAAAAATAGCAGTGTAGGTGCGATGGCACAAGCAGAGGGAGGGACTGTTCGCCCCGAGTACAAACCCATCTGAAACTCTAGGTAGTTACTCAGGTGGTTAACCCCTCCTGCTGCTTACGCTACCGTGGCTACACTTCTATTTTTGGTGTGCTGTGTCTCCTTGAGCTGGGAATCCAGTGTAGACGTACTGCCCCTCTGCCCCCCAAAAAACACACACAGGAGAAATAGTAGAATTGCCTGTGCAGGCAGTGCTGTCAGCTGCACACTGAACAAATTGGAAAAAACTGAGGAATAACTTTTGCCTACTCCGACGGTTACGTTTGTCTTCAGTGTTAGTTGTAGCAATAGTGTGTTGTGAGCCCTGTTGAAGTCCATGGGAGTTTTACTGTTGACTTCAGGGGGACCAGGATTTCACCCACGAAGCTGAAACATTCTCAGTGTGATTTTTTGTTTTTGTTTTGAAGTTGAGGGTGCCCCGTTAATCCTTTCTTTGTACGTGAGGGGTCTCAAATTCCATTAGGCCTGGAAATTCCTGATTTTCATCTAGGGAACCCAACCAGATGCTCATGAGATTCATTTCCCTTTTGCAGAGTCTGCATTAAAACATTCTTGTGTCCATTCACTGTACCCACTGAGGAAAGGTGAGGGGAAATGTTGTTAAATAAAGCTTATGGCACAATAATCTCTTTCCCACTGAATAGACTCTGCAATTTCCAAACCTGGTGTTTTGTCACATTTCGAACAAGGAGTAGAGTCACGGGTCAGAGGGCAGCAGGACTCAGATGAGGAGAGAGAAATCCTTACTGACCCCGGTGCAGGTGAGTAGCAGATTAACGCAATACAGGGTAAATGTATTCATTGTAGAATAATGATACGGTGCGTTGCACATCTGGGGGCACTGATTCTGGGCAGAATGCAGAGTTCTACCAGAGATGGAGTAGAGAGAGAGAACAAGGGCAGGAGTATTCTTTGCTGGGTTGCTACAGTGAGGGAAGGACAGAGACAGTGAGGGGAGAGGGAAAGCACAGTTGGGGTTAGAGACAATCTTAGACTCAAGGGAGCAAGGTTTGGACAGGTAATTACTCAGCATCTAGATATAGGTCAGCCTGCAAAATAGCGTCTCTCCAGACTGTGGAGAGTCATGGGAACAGAGCTGTAAGTGGTGGAATGACTCAACAGGGAAGACAATACAGCTGCAGTCAGCAAGTTATCTTCTCATGGGGTTAGTGCTTATAACAAGGAAGGAGAATCAGGTAATATAAGCAGGGAAATGGACAGGGACCCTCTCCCCTGCTGGTGGTTCAGCCCAACCTTTCCAAAGGCCCCCCTTCTCCCCTGCCTCCCAAGCAGCCGCTCTTATAGCCCTTCTTTCTATCTATCTACCCCATCTCACTGTAGTATCTAAGCACCTCACAGTCACTGATGGATTTATCTTCAGACTATCCCTTGAGGTAAAGTGTGCTATTCCATGTTTTATAGATCAGGAAACTGAGGCACGGGGTAGATTAAGTGACTTGTCCAGGTTAACACAGGCAGTCTGGCTGAGGCAGACACTGAACCCAAGTATCCTGAATCCCAGTCCAGGGCCCTGTCCATTAACCCATCCTTCCTAGCACGCCTCCCTGAGTGCACCTTTCCAGGCTGAGGGGAAGCTAAGATGGGGTGAACACCCTGTTCACTGTCTCCTCACCTTGTCCCATTGGGAGAGGTGAGGATTAGGGCAACCAGAATGAGCAGCTGGAGGATCAGAGAGCTGAGGTGGAGTGAGCTCACTGCGTGGGCAAGAGGCTGGATATGGAGCTGCACAGAAAGGTGATGGAGGGTTGGGGTGAGATGGTCTTGGAGAAAGAGATTATACTGGCTATCGCATTCTGGACCTCCTGAAGATTGCAGTGTTGGGATTTAGGAAGATCATTAACCCCGGGAATGTTTGAGGTGACTGAGGCACTACTAAAGACTTCGGCCGTAGTGGTTTGAGGTCAGGGCAAATCACCTTCTGCAGGAAAACGCAAAAATGGCAAATCAGCCCTAAAATTGTGGTGTCCGCAGTGCCTCAGTTCTTTCCGTGATGGGAATGCTCTGTGAATCAGAAAAGGATTATTGCTAATGGTTTCTTATATCCCAACTCAGTGGAATGAATCATATCTGGGTTCTCTCTTTATTTCAGCAGGTATAAGGGTTGTGATCAAAACAGAGGAGATTAATCCTGAGGACTGCCCTGAAAACCTGGAGCTGGACAGAATGTTGGAACGATCAGAAGGAAGTTTCCAGAATCCAGACCAGGAAGTAACCCGTGGTAGTCCGTATGGCTCAGTAACGCCTCCGAGAAACCCCTCAGGGAACTGTCTGGATGAGTCCACCGAATATAAAACAGATTTCAGTGAAATCAGAAGAGTCATTGTTCAGCAGGGTAACTGCACAGGTGAGTGGCTGTATGTGCTGAATGTGAGAAAAGCTTTAGGCCAAGGAGAAGCCATGTATTACATCAGAGGAGCTGAGCAAAAGCAGGACTGTATGAATGTACAGAGTGAGGAAAAGCTCCAGGGTACAGCAGTGATGTACAGTGCAGCAGAGAATCCATATGGGAGGGAAGCCCAGAGTCTGCCTGGGTTGGGGGAAACTTTTAAGCAAAAGAACAGTCTTAAATCCCACCAGAAACCCATGCAGGAGGAACACCTGTGGAAGTAGTGACCATGAGAGCAGCAGAAGTCACACATCAAGTCAGGGGACTCCAGAGAAAGACACACCAGACACATCTAGTAAATGTCAGAAACATCTCTCTGAAGACCAGTCCTACTGCACAGCAGAGACTTCATTCATTAGTCTGTAACAGGTGACTAGCATGTTCCTGCTGGGGTGAAGGCTTCGACCACTCTTCGTGTCCTATTAGACATCAGAGACTCAAGAGTGAGACACCTTGCCAATGCATTGAGTATGAGAGGAACTCTACAGTGCAACATCTTGTAAAATGCCAGTGAGCCCACACTGCAGACACTCACTACATGGAATGGAGGAAAGCATTAGCCAACCATATCCGCTTCTCCATCACCAGCTAGTCTGCTCAGAAACTGGATCAAAACACTGAAGAACTAAGTGCTTCAGAGATAAACAAGCTCGGATATCCCCAAACAATGCTTTCCCTGAGGATTTACCACACCCTAGTCAGCTGTCGAAAGCAACCCCCTCTGGGTAGAAGAAAACTGCTGTGTAAATACTACGAGCTAAAATAGGATTAAGGTAAAATTGGAAGTGTGTTAGGATGACTGTTACCTAGGAACTAGAGTTAAGTCTTGTAACCTGTCAAAGGGCTTATTCCTACAAGGCAAGGAATTGGGTATAAAGTTATTGGTGGAACCTGCTAGGGGAGAGCAGACACCCGGACTATCTACCGGGCCTATATGTACACCTTGGACATTCTGTGCCATGTAGCGTGACTGGGAACTAATCAAATACCATGGCCAGTGGAAAGCAGAATCTATCTCATACTTAACCCAGAGGGGCCTGATCACCATGCCAAGTTTTCCAGGAAGACCCAGAGTGATGGTTAACTGGGTCCTGTGATTAGTGCAAATATTTTTCATTCTGCTAAGTCTGTCTTGCTAAAGTGGGCAAAAAGGAGAAGCCAGCCTCGTCCTAGTTCTTTGTGGTCATAGTGATTTCTTCCCGTTTTGCCTAACGCATCCTTTTCCTACAATTGGGGAATGCAGAGGGAGAATCCTAAAACAAACCTAAAATGGATCAAATTGTTTTAGCCAAATTAACATTACTGGAGTGCTCTATCCCATCCAGGACTTTACCATCCAAAGTGAAACTCGGATGAAAGTCCCCCCACCTTGTAACTAAGTATTATGTGCTGCTTTATGGTATTTTGTGTTGCCAAGATCTCTTTGGCTTTTGTGAAGATCAGTAAACACCCCCCCCACACACACACCTTTTTTTTTTTTTTTTTAAAGAAACCTTTTCTTGTTTCTCTCAGTAGCTGGCAGCCAACTATTTATCTGGGTTATATGTGCATTCCTTTGTTTTCTCACCTATCCCCTACCCACACACAGTGAATTGGAACAATTTTTGACAAGACTTTTAGTTAGCTTATTTCATAGATATGTTTAGCTCCATCCTAGGTGATCCTTGATACACGTGATGATAATTTGCTGCTTCGGTGGTGGTGGTGTAGTGCTGTCCTAGAGGACCTGAGCTGTCTCTCACTTACAATCCCTGACTCTCTCACGTGTAAACGCTAATAATAGCTTTGTGTAGATACAAATGGCAAGACCGAACCAGACTCCTGCTGCAGGACTTAAGGCTGGCAAACAAGCGCTCTTCTCAGGTTGGGGGCTGCACAGTGTCTGATCTTGCTGAGAATGATCTATATTCAGCCAATATTTTTTTAACAAGGGGATACCACAGAATTGTGTCCCTGAAGTGTATGCCAAGCCACATTTGTTTCAGGGAGAAGTGGGTGAGGGGACTGCTGAATAGATTAATTTGTTTTCCTATTTAAACAAATATGCCTTCTCATACCCAAGTGGGGAGGCAGCGTTTCTGAGGAGCCATGCTTAAATTAAGCCACACTTGCTGGAGAGGTTTCCTGAAAAAATATCCTGAGTATACAGACAATTTAGCTCAGTGTTCATTTGGCGTTGATCTAAAGCCCATTGAAATGGGATTTTATAGGGAGATCTGCACAGGTCCATCCCCAGGGGATGTTTTTTAAATCCTTGCGATTCAGTGAAATCGAATCCATTTCAAATGCAAAAAAAATTGTGCTTCAGAAGAATATTTACAATGAAAGCCCCAGGCTAAGTCCTCTCTGGCAGGGTCTGGTGTATCCAGATCCAAAGAGGGAAGTGACTGTACCTGAGACAGGCAAATTGCCCCACACTGTCTCTCAATTTGAAAGCAGAATTTTTAAAAAGGGCTCCTGGGAGCCCCTGCCAGCACATCACTGACATGTGGAAGAGCGAGGACAGATTAACGCAAGGCTTCTAGCCTTAAGAGCAAAGTTCCCAAGAGTGATGATGGAGCCGAAGTCCTTGCACAGCTTCCTGCCAAGGTGTGTTAACCTGGTTGGAGTGTCAGTTGTGCCCTAATAGCTCTGTGCAACAGGGACAGCTAAAAGCCTGATACTCTCAAAACAAAATCTAAGAAAATGGCAGCAAATTGCTGAGCAGCTCTAAAACAGTGGAATCTGTGATGTTCTTCCAGAGCTGATTCGCCAGTGTCCTTGGTAATGTTCTAGAATTCCCAAACATTGAGACAGGCAAGCAACATCTTTTGACCGCCTCTCTAAGTAGCAAATCCAGAGGGTTTCTCCAGGAATTCTGGCAGGAATTCCTTGCCAGAAGATGTTGTGAAGGCCAAGATTATAACAGGGTTCAAAAAAGAACTAGGTAAGTTCATGGAGGATAGGTCCATCAATGGCTATTAGCCAGGGTGGGCAGGGATGGTGTCCCTAGCCTCTGTTTGCCAGAAGCTGGGAATGTGCGACAGGGGATGGATCACTTGATGATTACCTGTTCTGTTCATTCCCTCTGGGGCACCTGGCACTGGTCACTGTTGGAAGACAGGATACTGGGCTAGATAGACCTTTGGTCTGACCCAGTATGGCCGTTCTTATGTTCTTATGTCACTTTGCTCCTAAAAACTCTTCAGCAATTTCCATTGTGTATCAAGAATGTCTTAATCATAAGAGGCTTCCTTTATCCTAAGCAGATGAAATTAATGATGTCTTGGTTCTCTTTTAAATTCTCCCAGATGATGGGATTGTGATCAAAACTGAGGAGGAGGATGATCCTGACACCCTGGAGCCATATGCCATGTTCTCAGGCAGAGCAGAGCAGCAGATTTTCCAGAATCATGAGCAGGGGACAACCTGTGAGGCTCAGTGCAGTTCCAAAATGCAACAGAGAAACCTAATCGGAAACAGGCCAGGGCAATCTGCTCCCTGTGAAAGAGACTCCAGTGAAACGAAGACGGTCATTGTTCACCAGAGAAACCGCACCAGGGAAAGACCTTATATCTGCCCTGAGTGTGGGAAAAGCTTCATGCTGAAGATCAACTTTATAATCCACCAGAGGAACCATCTCAAAGAGGGGCCCTACGAATGTAATGAGTGCGACTTAAGCTTCAGGATCAAGCAGCAGTTTATCCTGCACCAGCGCAGCCACACACGACGGGGAGTCGGCCCAGCCCGGCGTGTGGAGAACTTCAGAGACAAGCACAGCCTCAAGCCAGAGCAGAGAACGCCACCGGCAGGGAAACCCTATAAATGCACAGAGTGTGAGAGCAGCTTCAGCCACAAGTCGAGCCTCAGCAAACATCAGATCACGCACGTGGGGGAGCGGCCGTACACGTGCAGTGAGTGCAGGAAGAGCTTCCGGCTGCAGATCAGCCTGATCATGCACCAGAGGATCCACACTGGGAAGAGCGAGATGTCCTTCATATGCCCTCAGTGTGGGAAAAACTTTAGTCGCCCCTCCCATCTCCTCAGGCACCAGAGGACTCACACGGGGGAGCGGCCCTATAAATGCACCCAGTGCGAGAAAACCTTCAGTGAGAAGTCCAAGCTTACCAACCACTACCGCATCCACACGCGGGAGCGGCCGCATGCCTGCACTGAATGCGGCAAAGGCTTTATCCGCAAGCACCACCTGCTGGAGCACCAGCGCATCCACACTGGGGAGCGACCCTACCACTGCACTGAGTGCGGCAAGAACTTCACTCAGAAGCACCACCTGCTGGAGCACCAGCGGGCTCACACCGGCGAGAGGCCCTACCCCTGCACTGAGTGCACTAAGTGCTTCCGATATAAACAGTCCCTTAAGTACCACTTGAGGACGCACACGGGGGAGTAGGAGCCAATGGGAGCTGCACCCCACCTGGGCATTTGAGTCAGGAGTCTTTGTGGAAGGAAGCAGTGGTGCAACAGTGTGTCGGGACTGATAATTTGATGTAAAACAAAGCAAGCAAATAACATGCAGCAAAATTTAAAAGAACAGAAAAAGCTAATTTAGGGTAAATATTCATCATAATGTACAGGATATTTTGCTGAAGTAGGACTAACTGCTTTTTAAATCTATTCTTTTTGATAATAAATGTGAAGTAACTTTTATTTGATAAGCAAATTTAAGATTTCAGTTTTTTTAAATATATAATTTTACACTGTACATCGTACCTTTTAATCTGGAAAATCCCAAAGTGGTTTACATGCCTTCTACAGGGATCGTCTCACCTGCTGCTGAGATGCAGCTGCCCCCGGGTGGAACATGGCATCTCTTTAGCAGTGCACAGCAATAGTATGTGCTCCAATCCCGGTCGAGATTATTAGTATATCCACACACAAACTACAACAAGAATTTTGTATGGATTATTTAGATGTAAAATGATAACGGATGGCTTGCCCTAACACAATCATTAATTATACAATACAGTGGAATCCCAGTCACATTAAAATAGTCATGCCACCTGGAAGCCAGCCAGCCAGCCAGCCACCTCTTTATCGTTCTGGGAAGGTAGACAGTGTCAAGTGGAAATTTGTCTAGCTGACTGATGTAAACGCCCCTGCTCTTGCAATGAAAAGAATCTACTCAGTTATCCAGTCTGTCTCCCTGCCAACACATGATGTTCCCAAGTGTGTTGGTCATTCTAATTTCAAATGACCCAAGTGGTAAAGTTTCCACTGCATCCCTTGGCCAGCTGTTGTCAGCTGCCCCATCGCCGCTTTAGAAAGTTTGCAGATATATGCTAACTCTCTAATGGGCTTTATGGTCAGGGCTTTGGTGTTCTATTTCGTCTGAAAGAGCACTGCCCTGGGGCATTGGCTCAGTGCATGTTCATTCAGTAAGGGCTGGGAGGGCAGGGCAGGGCTGGGAGAACCTTGATGAGTATGTGGATCCTTGGAGGAGTCCTCCCAGCCCTAGTTTCACCACAGTGTTCAGACTGATGTGGAGCCAGGTGCTGGTTTCCCTGTGCAGTGTCCCTGTCTAGTGTGTCCTGCTGTGAATGGGAAAAATCAACAGCAGCACAGGGTGGGGTGGCTGTGTCTCCGGTGCTCTTCTGTGGGTATTTTGGGGTAGAAGAGATGGCTCTGAATCTCCTGCAGCCCAGGGACAGGGTGGAAATAGGAATAAAGCCTTTGGTTGGGTTTAGAAAACACCCCTTGCTAGATCCGGTTGTGCCCAGGTCAGTAGGTGTTTCCCAGGGATCCACCGAATGGTGAATATTCAGGTATTGAATTTCATTTTATTGTCACACTGGAGTCAGTGCAGAGTGAGGGACCAATAGATCTTCATACTGGGCTATAAACAATCCAGCTTTGTGCTACTGGATTACTCATTCCTCCCAGTGCCTTTTTCTGAAATTCTTACAGCGCCGTGATTATTCCAGGTCTGTCATTTCATGATTCTTGCAGTTCACGTGATTAGTGGCATCAAATTTAATTTTATTGGCTTTTGTCACAGATTAAATCTAGAGAAATTTGAGCTGAAAAGTCGTATTAGTACAGTCCACTCCTGGGTGCCAGTGTAGAATCCTCTCCTATTGGATGAAATTCTCCCCTGTGCAGATGGCCAGCAATTGGGTGAGTTAAGTAGGATTTTAGTGGTGCCAGCACCTTATTCTGGCCTGACCATAGATAAATTGCACCCGTTTGGACAATTATCTCCAATAAACCATGGCGTTTTTTATTTTTTTAAAGCTGTTAACATGTTTTTCAGACTAAATTGTGTGCTACGTAAAAATAAGCATCTCATTAGAGGTATCAATGTATGTTTTATTTATATAAAATGTAATGTATTAGCTAGCTATGCACTGACTCTATCTTAAGCACTTATGTGGCCCCAATTATCATAGTATCTAAGTACTTTACAACCTGTAATGTGTTTATCCTCTCTCACTCTGTAAGGAATTGAACTGAGGTCCTATACGTGCTAAGCAACAGCTCTAATCACTGGACTACCCTTGCTTAGTGAGCCCGTACAACCTGATTTCGCAATAGAGCATTTCATTGCAAATTGCAGTTGTACCTCCCTCCCCCAAATTATAATACATATTTCCTCTGGCTGTTTTAATTGCATGGCTCTAATGCTTGGAATTGTCTTCTTCCAGATAAAATACAAGCATTCTGGATCAAGAGAATTTAAAAAGTAACAAGATATGCTACAAAGATATTGGGAACCAATATAAACCCAGTCAGTGATTCGGTGGTCAGGGACTGTCTCAGCATTTGAACTATGGACTCACTGCTGGGTATCCATACTATTTGGAGACTGGCCTGTTCTGTGAGCTCTTCCCCTGTGCAGGTGGTGCTGCTCATGCCCAGAGCTGAGGAAGAATCTTCTCTGGGTTTTGCTTTAAATGGCTACAGGCTGGTTCCCAGGCTGCACTCTGTTTCGTCAGCATAGCTGCTGTGCCCATCGCCTAGTGAGGAGAAACTGGGACTGCCCAGCCCAGCATGGGAGAGGGAGAGTTGGGGAAACACTAATGTCCACTCCTGTGCAGAGATGAGGGGGTGAGATCTGGAGTCCTCCTGCCCCACTGAGTTCCATCTGCATCTGGGCTTGGGAAGGTGGATCATGGCTGAACGTGGGCTCCTGCTCATGTGAGCGATTTAATCTAGGATCTGAAAGCATAAAGCTGTATTGCCTCAGCTGAGAGACCCAGGTCTATTGGCTCAAAGGCTGTAGCAAACTCAGACTTGTGTGTTGTCCAGTGCTGGCCTGTGAGCATTGGCTGCACGTGCAACACAGCTCCACTCTCAGTTGGGGAAAGACAATTGTGTTGTACATTCCAGACTGCATACGTATTATTTTTAATGTCACGCTTGGAAGGAGGTTTCCTTTTTCCAGACTGGTAATCCTTTGAATCAGGCCAGCCAACCCAAACTTTAGGGGCTGTCATTGTTTCACTCTCTGTATTTAAGTTTAAATTAAACCCATAGCATCAAGTTCTGCTCTCATTTTCGTACAGGCACTGAATGCAGCCGTTAGAAGAATTTGGCTCTATTTTCTCAGTATGTTTTTAAATTAAAGTTCCTTTCTAAATGTTAAAGATTTAAGAATGTTTCTCTTATTGTCATGACACATGGGCTGTGGGTCCCTCTGAGATGAGTATTTGTCAGTGGAACTGGTTTATTCTCAAGTTATAGGTGCTTGGGTGAAGGAGTTTGTAGGCTTGTGCAGAAGCTGCTTTGCAAACCAATGTAAACCGAACATACTGAACCAAATAACAGAAATCACCAGTGCAGACAAGACACCAAGCATCTTAAATAGGTTTTTTTCTTAAATGAGCCTCTGATCTTGCAATCAGATCAGTGTGGGTGCAGGGGCACTGGTTTGTGTGCCTAGCATGTGTCTGTATAGTGTCTTAGTCAATGGAGTCCCGTCTCAGTTGGGGCCTCTTGGTGCTGCTGTGATACATCATATGGTCTGCCCATGCGGATCTGATTGCAGGTTGGGGGCCAGAGTCTGTCTTACAAACACAAGGTCCAAAAGGATCAGAGACTTATCTGGGACTGCTCTGAAGACAGACAATATCTGAAAGCTGATGTAAAGAATTTGGGGGGCGGGGTATGAAACAGCCCTGCTTTGGTGTGTGATGTGCATGTCAAGTTTCAGCCCAATGCAATTTAAGATGTCGAGATTTAACTCCCTCCTCAATCAGCTTCACAATGAACACCTCAGTAAACCATAAAGTATCTCAACTGGAATGTGACCCCGTAAGAACAAAGATCCAAGTTCAGGAAGCACGGAGGGGCTAGTGGCAAGTGAGAGCTCTTGAGCTGTGTCTCTTGTAGCTGACTCTGCCAGACGAGAAGATGACCTTGCATTCCTCTAATTTTCTGTTCTCGGAGACAGGTTCTGGGATGGGTTGTGGAGTCATGGCATCCAATGCATTTACAACCCCCTGCAGCCTCTGAGTGAACTTCATTGCAAACTGCAGAGATTTCCCTGTGGACAATAGTGGCTGCAATTCAAGCTGGGGAGAGGAAGGTGGATTCTCACGCCACGCGATTACTGAGGCAGGAGGGGAGAATGGGAAAGTCTGAAAAGAAATTAGACTGTGAGAGGACAGTGATGGAGTTTGCTAACCAGCTGGGGAGTAAGTGGGCCGTGCTGGAAATTCTGATCCAGGAGTACAATCTATTGCAGAGAACGTGGAGAACCTGCTGAAGAACAAGAACTTCTGGATTCTGAGATTCCCCCGGGGCACTAATGGTGAAGTTCTCAAGGTAACAATATCTCAGCTGGTGCTGGGGGGTAGGAGCAAAGCCTGACTCTGAGTCAGACATTAAAGAGGTGTTTAGCATGGGCAGAAAGAAGTTTTTGTGATTAACACACACAACTGAGAGTCATGAGATCTGGGTTCTATTTCTGCTTCTGCCAGAGACTTCCGGTGTGAGCTTGGGCAAGTCATTTATGTTACTGTAGTGCCTAGGAACCCCAGGCTAGGATCAGGCCCCATTGTGCTAGCTGCTGTACAGAGAAGTAACAAAGAAAACAATCCCTGCCTCAGAGGGGTCGCAGTCTAGGTGATGGACAGGATGCAACAGGTGGGCGGAACAGACAGCTGAGGGGATGAATGGACAATAAAGCAGAGTTTAGCCAAATCTAGGAAAAAAGTGAGGATCACATTTTTAAAAGCAGCCTCTTATTATGGATCCCTCAGTTCCTGGTGGCCCATCTTCAGACACGTAGGGCTGGCCTGGCTGTTTCCGCTCTGAGATCCTGGCTTCCGATATATAATGTTAGATACCCAGGAACTGAGGGCACACTGAAGTTGCTACTGATAACTTGGAATTTTGCCTCTGGGTCTAAGATCCCTGTTTTAGTAGTGAGGGAAAATAGTACTTGCCTCCCCCTCTGGAGTGTTGTGAGGATGCATTCATTGATACTTATGAGGCACTCCTATGATCCCCAACACTGGATCATTTGGGCATTTCAAATATGTTTCAGAGCGGTAGCCGTGTTAGTCTGTATTGGTAAAAAGAACGAGGAGTACTTGTGGCACCTTAGAGGCTAACAAATTTATTTGAGCATAAGCTTTCGTGGGCTAAAACCCACTTCATGGGATGCATGCAGTGGAAAATACAGTAGGAAGATATATATATACACACACAACATGAAAAAATGGGTGTTGCCATGCTGATAACGAGACTAATCAATTAAGGTGGGCTATTATCAGCAGGAGAGAAAAAAACGTTTGTAGTGATACCATTGTCAACTGTTTGAAATGGGCCATCCTGATTATTGTTGTCAGTAGCTACCGGTGTGGTGCCCTGCTCTTGTTCGATGATGATAACAGTCGGCTGCGTGCGTGTTCCCTCTGTGTGCTGCCCCAGCTCTGCGCAGATCACTGACACAGCAAACCCCGAGAGAACCCCCAAAGACCACAGACTCTAGTAAGGTACGAAGGAACCCGAGCCAGGTTTATTGTCAAACAAAGCACAGTAATAGTTTTCCGTAGACTCTACAAGACATACTACGAATTTGTGCCCCTTGGCAATGGACCGGCTCAGTCAGTGGCAGGACTTTCCACTGCCCCCTAGACCAGACAAAGATGTGCACTCCGGGACCTACTTTTATACAGTTACAGGACAGATTACTCATCCCTACTGACGTATTGAAGTACAGCCCCTTGACTCATTGGGGCTGTCTCCCTCTTTGATCATGTTGTTTCAAACAAATCTATCCATCATGTTGTCCTTTTGACCCTGTCTTTAATATACACCTGCCCGTTCCTTGTTATCTCTGTGGAGTGTTCTGATGTCATCTCGGCACAAGTTCCTCTTATTAGCACTTATGTGTGGATGCACCTGCTTCTAGCAGCCCTCTTCTTGCCAACTTCTCTGAGTGGGGCCTGCCTCTGGTTCACAGCCCAGCTTTTGCTTAGCAATGCCTGGAAGTACTTTGGTTCAGGCATCAGGCCTCAGACTGGGCCTTTGATACAAGAGTTTGTTTCAGGGCCTCATCTTACTACAATTATCACTACAAAAGTTTTTTTCTCCTGTTGATAATAGCCCACCTTAATTGATTAGTCTCGTTACAGTTGATATGGCAACACCAATTTTTTCATGGTGTGTGTGTGTGTGTGTGTGTCTTCCTACTGTATTTTCCACTGCATGCATCTGATGAAGTGGGTTTTAGCCCATGAAAGTTTATGTCCAAATAAATTTGTTAGTCTCTAAGGTGCCACAAGTACTCATTCAAATATGTTTGTGTTTCAAGATACATGGCTATTCAGCTAATACATTTTATTCAGCAGTTTAATTGAACTGTTTAGTGAAGTTTAGTGAAATGTTGAATCTCTCAGTAATGAATTGAAGATGCAAAGGAATGTGAATTACAAAACATAAACATGTTGGCTGTAGTTTGCACAACAATGATACTAGGGGAATGTGAGGAATGTTTATATGAAGACTTTTATATTCTCCTCCTCCTCTTTCTATTTAATAATAATGTAATTGAATAAGAGAGTGTGGCATGTGAATGCTCATGATTTCAGGTCCTGGTGACATTTGATGAAATCTTGCTCTATTCCTCCTGAGAGAGGTGGGATAATTTAGGAGCTTTACAAGAACACGATGGAGAACTATGAATCTTTCATCCCTTTGGGTGAAGAGAACATTGCACTCCCTTATTAGAAGCTTGGTGATCGGTGACGTTCCTGGGTTGTCCCCAGTTCTAGCTTTTTCCCCTCTAGTTGCTGAGGGTTCTGGAGGGTCAAGGCTTAGAGATCTCTGAAATCAGCATTGTTCTGAATGTGCTGTTGGGAGCAGGACCAACCTCCTATCAGACATTTTACTTTTCTGAGGATTCCTTAGTAGCTTCTTTGCTTTGGATCACCCTTCCCCTCCAGTTTCACAAGCAGATTGCTCAATAATCATTTATAATTCCTTCCAGCTAGTATTTCAATGAATTGTATATTGTTCCATAAACAGATTCTACTATTTCCTAGTAGCCTACAGTGAACAAGACGGGGGAGCCATGCGTCGAGGATCAGGGGGACTCTGAGGAGTGAGAGATCCCTGTACAGGTGAGTTACACAAAATACTGCCGTGAGAGGTTGGGGAAGAAAGGGAAACTTTGTATGGAGAGGGCGTTGAGAGAAAGGTAAAGGGCTGGAAAGGAAAAAAGCAAAGCTCTCAGAAGTTCTCTTGCAAATTAGTTACTGAGAGGAGAGGATGGAAAGATAGCGACAGAGATTTTGGAAAAGGTGATAGGGTTCAGAGCAGATCTTAATCTAAAGGGAATAGAGAACAGGAAGTGAGTCAGGGTCTTGGAGAGGCAAAGAGTTCCATGGAGATAAGGTACCATAGTGTCTGTACCATCACATTCAGTACAACCATGGGGAGGGGACGCACAGACTGGAGGTGCATAATGAGTAGAGGACAGTGTGGGTGTCTGTACAATTGCAGAGGTGGTGGAATGAGTTTGCTGAGAGCTCTGCAATGAGGAGGACAATCTTGAATTAATGTCAGAGATTGTAGCAGGAAGCCATTGAACATGACAAAGGATTAGACTGATACAGTATCTAATATCAGCCATGTCACAACCTAGCCTTCATTCTAATGGAAACAATATTGTGCCTGAAAATTATGTTTGCACTGTTCTGCCTGCAATGAATTGTGGTGCAAATTTGAGTAGTTAGACATGGCGTTATCTGATCTGTTGGTGGCTAGACCTCTAACTACTTTGATTTAGAGATAAATCTATACAACTCTGGCCCACGGTCATGTTTCACAATCCCAACTAATAGAACAGGCTAGCTCCAGAATTCAGGACCTCCCACAGATCAGAGTGGAGGGATTTTGGAAGATCATGAAACAGGGAAGTGCAGTATTATAAACCAGGTCAGACGAGGAGATAAGTAAAGACTTTATCAGACTCTGAAGAAAGGATTTGGTAACGTTGCATTGGCTCCTCTGTGATAGCAGGATCTATGATGTTCCTTGTTTACACTTTTTAATTTCAAACCCTTTCATTCATGTTAATCCTCACAGCAT